CCATCGTGGCGATGCTGACCCAGCAATGGGAAAACCAGGAGCGCTACATGCAACTCGCCAGGATCACGCACCCGCAGGCGCAGGAAGTGCGCACTTCCCTCCCCCAGGGGGATCCGTGGAGCCCGCTGGCGCTCACATGTCTGCTCGCCGGGCCGCTGCGGGAGCTGGAGGAGAGGGTGCCCAACGTCACCACCACCGTCTTCGTCGACGACAGGACGTGGACAGCGCGCCGCCTGGAGGACCTCCTGGTCGCGGCGCAGCTTTGGCGAGCCTGGAGCGCTGCTCTGGGGCTCAAGGAAAACGCTCTGAAGGAGCAGTGAAGCCACGGGGACCCTGCTGGCCGCCAGAACCTTCAGAAGCATGTCTCGCCAGACACCGTGGCGGACAAGCTGGAGGTGTTGGGCATGAAGATCACGGGAGGGAAAAGGAGGAAGAAGTGCCGCAAGGAGGTAAAGTGGCTCGACAAGGCCTCCCAGCAGACGGCCAAGGCAGCGCTTCTGCCACTCCCGCCGCGAGAAAGGAAGCAAGTGGTGGAAGCCGGGCCTCTCGCTTCTGCTCAGTACGGCTGGGTGTGCGACACGCCAAACATCCAGACCATCAATCAGATTCAAAGCCGCGTGCACAGAGCTATCGATTTTCCGATTCACGCGCCGCGGCCCTTGAAGTTGTTGATTTTGGAGCATCGCTCTGACGTGCGGTACAGGTGCCAGCAAGAGGCCATTCTTGGAGTTGTTCGCGCCATTGCAAAGGGCCTGGCCGGGAACGACCCTACAGGGGAGCTGCCGTGGAAGGAGACCGCGGGCTGGTCAGGCGTCCTGACAAAGCACTTGGCGTGGACAGGCTGGCGGTGCGTGGACGAGTGGGTGTGGAACCACCAGGGAACAGAGAAGACCATCACGCTCCGGCGAGACCACCCTGAGTGGCGAGAGCCGGGACAGGTGGCGCACCTGCTTCGGGAAGCCTGGCGCTTCTCCAACTTCCAGGAGTTCATGAAAGGGAGCCGGCGGGCTACGGTGGCGTGCGACGACGCCGAGTACGATCCGCTCAGGTACAAGCGCATGCTCAAGCTTGTGGAAGAGATACCAGCAGCTGCGAGAGTCTTCGCCGGCGCGGTGGTGAGCCCAGCGCACTACCACAAGGGCGACCTGGTTCTCGGCCGGTGTCCGTGGTGCACTGTCGAGATGGGCACCTGGAAAAACACGTCGCGTGGGAGTGCGGGAGCAGCCGCTTCCGGCACCGTCCGCGCCAGCGACCCCATGATGGTTTGCAACGCCGGCTTCTGTGGCCGACGGCGTTGGGCGGCAGGAAAGAGGTCGACCGGCAGCTCGTGGAGTGGGCTGTTTTCGTCGACCGCGTCATCAGGGACCACAGGTACGACGACGACGGGCGCCCGCCCCGGGCGGCCCGGCCTCGCGGCTGAGCACCAAGGGCGGCCATCCTTGGCCGCACCGGAGCTTTGTCACCTCCACGGCACTGCTTCGACATCAACAGGTGCAGCTGCCGATTGATTGCAACGCCGGTCCCGCAGGACTCAAGAATCACGCTCTCGCTGTGGATTCAAGGGCTCCCAACTTCGCGCTTCGCGCTGCGCGAAGCGCGAAGTGCGAATAACTTCGCGCTCTCGCGCCTTCTCCCAGGGAGAGGAGGAGGATGAGGAGGAATTGGAACCGAAGTGCGAAGCGCGAATAACTTCGCGCCCTCGATGGCGCCCTTGTGGATTCCCTCCTCGCGATTCCCCTGGCAATCGCGCCGTCGCCAAAGACTTCCTCACGAGTCCTGCGGGCCTCGTGCTTCAGCGGCCCGCCCGCTCGACTCGGCCATCGGGGCCCGCCCGCCCGACCTGCCCGTGAGGCTCCGCCCGCCCAACCCGCCCGTCAGGCTCCGCCGAGTGCACTCCTGCTCCTGACCCTCCTCCTGCAACATCTCTCCTGCTTCGACCTTCTCCCTCCCCCTCCTACTCCCCCTCCTCCTCCTCCCTCCTCCTCCTCCTCCTCCTCCTCCTCCTCCTCCTCCTCCCTCCTCCCTCCTCCTCCCTCCTCCCTCCTCCTCCTCCTCCTCCTCCTCCTCCCCCTCCTCCTCCCTCCTCCCTCCTCCCTCCTCCCTCCTCCCTCCTCCCTCCTCCCCCTTCTCCCTCCATTTTTCTTTCCTCCCCCTTCCCCTGGTTCAGGGTCTGCACCGACGAAGCGCGGTTGGCAGGGAAAGTATACCCCCAAGGGGTTACGGTCGAAGACGTAGAGGGCGGGCATCGAGGGTCTGGGATACACGTCTTGAATGACGTGCGAGCAGATAGGAGCGAACAGTCTTTAACTGATTTGCTGTTGGTTCTCAGTTCTGCAATAATCATTGTTGATCCCCCTGCCCAGTGTACATTATGTTTTCCAATGAATGTGCTCATCCCGTGGCCCGCAACCTGTTGATGATCATGGGAAGTCTTGGTCCTCAACCTGTGCCGCTGGCCCCCGGTTTACAACAACAGCGGCTCCCGCGTGATACTTCATCATAAATTATTTCCAAATCGCACTCTCGCGCGGGACTTCCTCATAATGTACGCAGGTAGCGCGCTCTAGCATGGTGACTCCTCACAGTTTATTGCATCGCCGTGCCCCCAAGACTCAGGAATCACGCTCTCGTTGTCGTTTTCCCAACGATTGGCTTGGCAATCGCGCTATCGCTCCAACCTTCCTTCATGATGGATTGACGCTGTAGCGGCCCGCCCGATCGACTCGGCAGTCTGGGTCAACCCGCCCGACCGGCCCCGAAAGGTCCGCCCGCCCGACCCGCCCGTCTGATTCTGCCGCGTGTACTCCTGCTCCTGACCTTCCTCCTGCAAATGTCTCTCTTGTGCTCCATACTTCTCCCTCCCCCTTGTCTCGTCCCTCCTTCCTTCCTCTTTTTTCAGGTCTGCGCCAACCAAACGCGGCTGGTAAGAAAGATATACCCCCAAGGGGGTGCAATCGAAAACGAAGAGGGCGGGTATCGAGAATTTGGGATATACGTGCTGAGTGGCACGCGAGTAGATAAGAGCGAACAGTCTCAAACCAATTGCTGTTGTTGTTTGCGTGCGTGAATGTTGTGTGTGCGTGTGTCTGTATTGCCCCATCTGCCTGGCTCCGCGCGTCGCTGCGCGCGTGGCACCGGGGCAGAACACGTTAGTTTGTGTGATGTGCGCCTTCGCGACTGCAATGTCCTATCGCTGGCAGAGGACAACATGTTCTGAGTGTGGGTATGTACCAGTGTTCTGAGTGGGTGTTTGTGTGTGCGTGTGGGTGTATGTGTGTGTGAGTGTGTGTGATTGTGTGTGAGTGTATGTGTATCAGATTTTGTGTGTTTGTGTGTGTGTGTCTGTGTGTCTGTGATTGTGTGTCTGTGTGTGTGTGTCTGTGTGTGTGTCTGTGTGTGCGTCTGTGTGTAATTGCGTATGTGTGTGCATGTGCGTCTGGGTGTGTCTGTGTGCGTGTCTGTGTGTGGGTCTGTGTGTGTCTGTGTGTGCGTCTGTGTGTGTCTGTGTGTGTGTCTGTGTGTCTGTGTGTGTGTGTGTCTGTGTGTGTCTGTGTGTGTCTGTGTGTGTCTGTGTCTGTGTGTGTGTGTGTCTGTGCGTGTGTGTCTCTGTGTGTGTTTGTGCGTGTCTGTTTGTGCGTGTCTGTGTGTGTGTGTCTGTGTGTGTGTCTGTGTTTGTCTGTGTGTGTCTGTGTGTGTCTGTGTGTGTGTCTGTGTGTTTGTCTGTGCGTGTGTGTATGTGTCTGTGTGTGTGTCTGTGTGTGTGTCTGTGTGTGCGTCTGTGTGTATGTGCCTGTGCGTGTTTGCCTGTGTTTGTGTGTGTTTGTCTGCATGTGTTTGTGTGTGTGTTGTGTCTGCTGCTTGTGTCTGTGTGTCTGTGCGTGCCTGTGTGTGTGCCTGTGTGTGTGTCTGTGTGTGTGTCTGTGTGGTGTGTGTGTGTGTGTCTGTGTGTGCGTCTGTGTGTATGTGTCTGTGCGTGTTTGCCTGTGTTTGTGTGTCTGTGTGTGTCTTTGTTTATTTGTGTGTGTTGTTCGTGTTGTGTGTGTTGTGTGTGTGTTATTTGTTGTGTGTGTTGTGTGGTGTGTGTGTGTGCCTGTGTTTCTGTGCGTGCGTCTGCGTGTGTGGGTGAGAATATGTGAGTGTTTGTGCGTGTGCGAGGGACAACACGTATGCTGCACACGGTGCAAGCCGCAAGCCTGCGCATTATCATCTTCAAGCATCTTTACCTTCAAGGTTGCAGGGTCACCGACGCCGAAAAGGCGGTGGCACAGTGGACCTCTCGAGCGCACCCCAGGAACTGGACTCGGGGCCGCGGCCACGGCGGGAGTGGGGCATCCTTGGTGGGATTCCGACCCGCTCGAGTTCGGCTCGCTCGACGAGCCCTCTCGTGCCATACGGCTCCTTGGATAGGCCCGCGACAAGCCACGCCGAGGCCGCTGACAATTCCGACGACCTCGCGAGCGAAAGGGCACCAACGACGGCACACGCGGTAGCCGTGAACAATCTGGATCACACGGCCGTCGCCTTGGCTGAGGGGGAGAGGCCGCGGGAAGGCGGACGGAACAAGGGGGGAGGGGGGAGACAGGAAGGAGGGCCATGGAGAGTCGAAGACCGAATAGGTACCCACATTATAAAAAAGCATTATAGCGAGGCCTTGCGGTAAAAACACCTAGGGTTGTGTAGGGTGGGTAGGGTAGGGCTGTGTAGTCAAATTGCCCGTGACTGCAAATGCATTTTGTTATGCAGGTCGAGGTGTTGCTTTCCTTCTCCTGAGATAATGCGGGATGACGATTAATAAACAAAATGGGAGAGAACGATTAAACAAATAGTTTTCAACTATTTCTGCACAAGATTCTGCCTGGAGGAGAACGATTAAAAAATAGTTTTCCAGCCCGCGGCCGGTTTTTTCTAATCGTCATCCCGGGCGCCGTCGCGTGAACACGACCCCCGGTCATTGATTAATCGTCATCCTCCATTAGGGGAAGGAGTTTTGGGACATGCTCCTCCAGCGCGCCGCGGGTACCCCGGCTGTGCAAGAAGCTGTCCTCCACCGCAGTCTCGTTGCTGCCGAAGGCGAACTCTGCCGACCTAACCTGCCGATCTTCCTTCTTCGAGGTGGCCGCGATGAGGTCTCCCAGCCCCTTGAATTGTGCCTCTTAGGGAATGAAGAAAGACAAGGCTGCCAGAGCTGGCCTCGAACAATTTGCATCATCACGTCTTGATGCGGTCTGGCCGCCGCGGATAATGGGGACGGAAGCGGAGATGGCATGAAGCAACTGGGTCCTGAGGGAAACGGGTCCTGGAATCCAGGGCCTTCTCCCAAGACGCACTTTTCGTCCCGAGTAAATTTTTGACGGTCCCGGGGCGCGTGGATGGCCCCGGGAAAACCAAAACGGCGAAAAACCTCAGGAGCTGTTTCCTTCGAGACCCGTTTGCTTCATGGCGACGGATTGGCACGCCCGAAGCGGGAACAGACAATCATGGGCACTACGCCCAGCAACAAGTGCTGTCCAAAACCGACAGCAGCCGCTGCTGGGCAGGCGGTGCGATGCCCAGCAGCACAGGCTATCCCAAACCTACAGCGGCCGCTGTTGGGCAGGCGGCTGTTTGACTCAAGTGGACGACGTTCGCGGCCACACCAACAGCGAATCCTGCTCAAACTGGGCAGGAGCTGCTATCGGTCTTTTTCCCTGGTGTTTTCGAGCCTGCTCCGATCGGGGCTGGCTACGAGGGGGGCATGCAAGAGGGGGGATCGCAAATCATGGACCGAGGCATGTGCGCGGACGAGGGGGGAACAAGGGACGTGCTGAAAGAAGACCCGGGGAGATATCTTTGCCCTGGCGGTCATGGTACCCTGGATGATATCCCCCACCCCCTCCTATTCTCGGCGGCGAGCCCAGAGGGGAGGTGAGAAGGAGAAGGCCTTCTGAGAAGGCTCGGAAGTCCCTCGGCCTTCTGAGAAGTTTCCTGAGCCTCCCCCGAAGACGCCGAAAGCCTCTCAGAAGGCCAGAGGGCTTCTGAGAAGCTGAGAGGGCTTTCTCCTTCTCGTTTCCCCCCCACTCGCTCGCCGCCGATACTCATCCCCCCCCCCCTCTTGGCCGACGCCCGAGATCTGTGGCCGGCGCCGCGCGCTCGCACGGGGCCGGGAAGCAGGCTGGCAGAGGGCCGGTGCGCCCCCGCTCGGAGCGCGTGGCCCGGCAGGCCGGCGGGGCATCGCGGGCAGGCGCCGTGCCTTCTTTTGGACGCGGGCTGGCGTCGAACCTCACGGCCAGGAACGGCTCGGCTCCTCCCTCCTCCCTCCTCCCTCCTCCCTCCTCCCTCCTCCCTCCTCCCTCCTCCCTCCTCCCTCCTCCTACACTAGTGACCCCGGCCAAGAGTGGCCTTTGGTGCGCGGCTTGCTGGGGGCCGCGGGGGGCCAAGCCTGGGCGCGCAAGCCGCTGCTCCTGTCTCTTTTCAGCCATCTGGGGACCCATCTGTGGCCGCACCTGAGGTCACTCCGGCGAAAGGGGGGGGGGAAGGCTCGAAAAAGGCTCGGGACATTGACGACTCGGAACCGCGAAGTGGACAGCGCGTCGCTCCAGAGTGCGGTGGGCCAGAACCGGCGGAGCGACGCGCTGTCCCACAGATCCCGACCGCGACCCCCCTGGAGCAACTAGCGTTAGAAAGCCCAGGGTTCGTTAGGGACTGGCTTCCTTGCAAAACCGCCGAAGCCCTCCCGAAACCCTCCGAAGGCCCCCCGGGGAAGGGCTCTGGAGGGCCTTTCGGAAGGTTTCGGGATGGTTCGGGAAGGGTCGTCGTCGGTTTGGAGGAAAACCAACGAGCCCTGGGCTTCCTGAAACCAGCGCACGGAGGCGACGAGGGGAACCAAACACGCGGGCCCGAGAGCGAGCGAAGCGAGGGGGCAGAGCGGCGAGCCTCGGCAGGGGCCGACCGAGGGCGCAGCACGGGCCGCGAAGAACGCCCCACGGCGCCGACGGGGAGCCGTGGTATCCAGGGATCGGGGAGAGCCAGCGGCCGCGCGGGGCCACCCCTGAGACCCTGGCGTCTCACTTTTCTCGAGCCGGGCGTTTTCGCTTTGTCTCGGGCCCCAGACCCCTCACAGATCGATCCGCCCCGAAAAATGGCGCAGAAAGATGGGGTCCAGGGTTCTGGGCGTGATCTTTTACGATGATGCAATGTTTCCGCTACGTCGGATCTCAGGGACAAGGGACCACCACAGGGGCGCGGACTCACGCTGCAGGGAGAAGCTGCCCCGAGCACCCCCGCAGTCAGGCGGGTATGGGAGCGAACGTGGGTCCACGCAGAATTTGTGCCGCGCGTCCTTTGTGGTGACCCTCCTTTCGCCCACGCCCACGTTCTTGGCATCCTTCGGGGGACCCGCGGCTGCATGAGCAGAAGCTTTTGGAGGTCCGCGCGGATTTCTTGGGTCGGCGCTGTGCACCCCCCCCGTGTTCCCTTCGAGCGCCCGGGGGCGGCGCGGCGCCGCCGGGGAGAGGGGATCAAGCGCCGGCCCAAGAAGTCCGCGCGGACCTCCGCACGTGATGTTTATGCAGCCTGCTGTTCTTCGAGTCCTGCAGCTTCGACTTGTACTCCCTGCTGATTCTCACGACCTGGTTCTGCATCAGGCTCACGGTCTGGAGCAGCTCGTCGGCATCGGTCTCCCGCAGCAGCTCCTCCAGCGCCCGGGTAGGGGGGGGGCCCAGGCTCATGTTCAGCCCACCAAGCTCTGGCGAGATCGCGGGGCACCTTCCTTGCAACCTCCCACCTTTTCCTCTTCCTCTTATTCCTCCTTCTCCTCCTCCTTCTCCTCCTCCTCCTCCTCCTCCTCCTCCTCCTCCCCTCCTCCACCCCTCCTCCATCATTCACAACATGAAGTATCACCAGAGTCCAGCATCCCCAAACATCCTGCTTTAGCCAAGGCTGCTCCCCAGAATGTTCGCACGTCATCCTGCTCCTGATCCTCCTGCACCTCGTCGTCGTCATCGTCGTCATCCTGCTCCTGCTGCTCCTCCTGCTCCTACTCCTGATCCTGCTGCTGCTGCTGCTGCTCCTCCTCCTCCTCCTCCTCCTCCTCCTCCTCCTCCTCCTCCCCCTGCTTCTTTTATACCTCCTCATCTCACTCCTCCTTCGTCCCCCTCCTCGTACGACTCCTCCTCATCCTTTTTGGTGCTATTCTTCCTCGACGATTTCCTCCTCCTCCTCCTCCTCCTCCTCCTCCTCCTCCCTCCTCCTCCTCCTCCTCTGCCTTCTCATCGCACTCCTCCTTTTCTTTTTCCTCCTGCTGCTCCTCCTCCTTCTCCCCCTCCTGCTCGCCGTGCTCCTCCATGTAATCCTCATACTCCGCCTCGTGTTTCGCGCCCACCTCCTCCTGTTCGCAGTGCTCCTCTTCCTGCTCCTGCTCCTGCTCCGCTTTGTCGTCCCGCTCCTCCTCGCAATTCTCATCCTTTTCCTTCTCCTCCTCGTCCCTCCTCTTCTCCGTTTCCTCCGCCATGCCAGGGATGTATTCGCACTCTCGATGCCGCTTCCAGGAGGCATCCTCGCCATGGACGCCCTCGAGCACACAGTTTGGGCCTGGCCCCGTCTCTCTCGCGCATTCTTCCTGCCTCCCCCCCCCCTCTCCTGGCCATCCCACCTTCTCCCTGCTCGCCGCGCTCTCGGTCGAGGCATCTGCACGAGTTGCTCGAGCGTGGCCCCCCTCCGAGAAACCCGTGGAATCCACCACGGTGCGGCAGGTCCGTGTCGTGCCGACTTCGGCGCTGGCTTCTGACACCGCGGGGATGGCTCCACTTTGAATGATCGGCCGTTTCCCAAAAACAAACTACACGTCGGTCGGAAGAAGTAGGTAGAAACATGAAGTAGGAAGGCGGGTATAGTAGATTGGGTCCAGGACCTCCCAGAGAATAACAAAACACAGCAAAAGCATGCCGATTCTTGAAGTAGGAAGGCGCTTGAAGCAGATTGGGATCTGGGAGTCCAAAAATACCTACTTTCAGCGACCGGCGTGTACATCGTTCGCGGCGTTCAACGTTGAACGCCGCTGGCGGGGCCGCCGCCGGTCGACACGACGCGAGCCTGCCGCATCGCGCTCGCGCGCCGTCACCGGCTGCCTCCACGGTCGGCCCAGGGCCGCCCAGGCCCCTCCACGAGCACAGCTCGACCACAGAAGAGCCGTCAGACGGTTCGTTTGGGTCTGACCCCTCCCCCTCCTCCTCCCCCTCCTCCCCTCCTCCCCCTCCTCCCCTCCTCCTCCTCCTCCTCCCTCCTCCTCTTCCTCCTTCTCTTCCCCCTCCTCCTCCTCCTCCTCCTCCTCCTCCTCCTCCTCCTCCTCCTGTTCCTCCTCCTTCTCCTCTTCCTCATCATCATCATCATCATCCTCCTCCTTCTCCTCCTTCCTCTCGGCGACCAGACTTGTGCGGATGTTTCAAACAAAACAGGCCAGACAACCTCGCGCGCGGCACCTCGGAGCTCGGACTTGCGAGAATGTCTCAAGCGACATGGGCCAGACCACCTCGTACACTTTCTGTGCCCATCGTCGCGAAGACGTCTGATGCGAAGCAGGCCTGACCACCTCTCGCGCGGCACCACCTCGGGCGGGACATCTCTAAGAACCCAAAGTTGCGAAGATAGATCCGGCGGCGCCCAGACCCTTCCCCCAGAGCACAATTTGGCTACAGACATGTAATCGAGTTGTTCGTTTAGGTCTGGCCCTCCTCCCTCTTCCCTCCGAGAGGGACCCAGAGTTTCGAGGATGTGTCCGGCGAAACGCGCCAGAACACCTTGCGCGCAACATGCGAGCCCAGAGCTGCGAGGATGTCTCAAGCGACACGGGCCAGACCACCTCGCGCGCGGCGTCGTGGAACCCAATACTACAAGGATGTCTGCGGTGAAGCGGGCCGGACCACCTCGCGCGCGGCATCTCGAAGCTTAGAGTTATGTCGGGCCTGTCCCCCTACTGGGGGATTTTCGACGAAAAATAAAAACATGCCCCAAAGATGCCCCAAGAAGGTCAAACAATACTGTTAAAATAATCCCCAGACCATTTTTGGATTATATATTTGAATATTTGTGTGCTATTTTGCATTTCGTCGAAAATCCCCCTGTAGGGGGACCGGCCCGACTTAAGTGTAATCAAATGGTTCGTCTGGGTTTTGCCCCTCCTCCCTCCTCCCTCCCCCCTCCTCCATCTCGGAGCCCAGAATTTCGACGACGTGTCAAGCGAAACGCGCCAGACAACCTCGCGCGCGGCCTCTCGGAACCCAGAGCTGCGAGGATGTCTCGGGCGAAACGGGCCAGACCCATCTTTACCCAACTTGGGCCCAACAGGGCCAAGATGATCAGGATTTTCTGATAGTAGATGTGGCACTCCCAGCAACGACTCCAAGGAACGTCTTGGGCTCGAGGACCCCCGAGATACCGTGGCGGCAATATCTACGGCGTCAGCCGTTGAAGTCTGAGGTTCGACTGTCCGTTAAGTGGATAAGGAAAAGAGATGTTGTGTTGTCGCGCGCGCATTTGACCTCCGATCCCAAACAGCTAGAGATAAGTCAACATGCTGCTCGGGAGAATATAACAAGGTTCATAAACGGCGGCAGGAGACGCGTGGCAACGACTCCCCCCGCGGCGGCCTGGCCGCAGCAGCCGGCCAGGGCCGACGCAGCACCATCGGGACCCCACGTCACCGACGGCGCCGAATTGAGGCGGGCGCGGGCGCGAGGCTCACATAGCCACCAGCAGCCCGGCTAGCCTCCGCGGGTTCACAATTTCGCCATGGGCTTATGGTGCGTTCACCAGTCGCCGCGGCGCCAGCGCCAATCCCAGCCGTCGCCACGGCGATCTCCCCAGCTGCCGCGACCGCCCTTGCCGCGGTCGCCCTTGCCCGCTCCCTTGCTGCCGGCCCGGCGGGAGGAGCCCTGCCACGCACTCCAGGCGTCGTTGGCGGGGGGCTGACTGCTCCTCCGATCATGCCATGGGCGCGGGCTGGAGCTGGGCTGGCTGGGCCGCGATGTAGACGGAGCTTCGCTAAGACGAACTGGCTCACGCACGAAGTTGGGCCTCTCGTCCTTGAAGCGGCATGGCCGCGCCTTCGCAAGAGGCGGGGGCGTCGTGCGATCCTCCACCACGGCAGGCGGCGGGGTCGCGCGGCGAGCAGCGCCCCCATTGCCGAGCCCGGTCCGCGGTGCCGCAGTCGCCCTGTCGCCCTGCTGTGGACGGCGACACAGGGCGCGCTTGCGGCTGGCAGACCGCGCAGACCTCGCAATCCTGGCCGTCGGGCGGCCCCCTCGCTCCTCGTGCCAAGGGCAGCCTTGAGGTTGCACGCTCTTGGCCGGGATTGAGCGCCGCTGCTCCGTGCATTCCCCAGATGGCAAGGGCGCGCACAGCTGCCTCGTGCACGTGCTGTGGCCACATCTCGACCGCGGCGCGCTGGAAGGTGTCCGGCGTCGTGCGTACTCCACGCCAGAGCGCCCGGGCCTCCGCTTGCTGCAAGTATTGCATGCAAGCCTCGATATTGTGGGCCTCGGCTGAGATGGGCGGCGCATCTTCGCGACCCATGTACAGGTCGCGGTGAACCAAGTCCAGCGCGTCGCGATGAGCGTTCAGAAGGTGTATCTCGCTCGCCAAACTGGCTCGGTATTGGCCGACCTCCGCGAGATGAATCTGCATGGCGTCATCATCCGCGATCTCTGGGTCAATGTCAGTCCACGAGAAGTCCTTGGTGAGCTCGATGGCCGCCCTGTAGACCTGCTCCGACATCCACTTCGCCTTCTGTGAGAGGGGGTCCGGGTCGTAGACGCAGAAGTCTAGCGGGTCGAACCGCAGCTCGTGGATCTTGGCCACACAGGAGGAGACGTCCCCAGCACGATGATGCTCCGCGGGCTCGTCCGCGGCGTCGAAGAAGGTGACGCGCTCCTCTGCCGCCCTCGCGATGCTGTAGACATCGAGGTGCGGAAGGTCAGCTGGGTCGCGTACGTCGCGCTCCGGTGCGCGCGACTTGTCGCGCATGAGCATGGCGGTGCCGCCGAATGCCCGTGACGCCTCTCCTGTCCGCGACTGCCTCGTGCGGCTGCGGGACCTGCCGCGCTTGCCATGGGCAGCGGCAGATGGCCAAACCGAGGCTGGGGTGCGGACTCGGCCCCTCGGGGCGTCGTCCTCGTCGTCTCTGTCCTCCGCCTCGTCCTCCGCCAGGACCTCCATGGGGGGCCAGTGCGTGTCTGGCCCCTTCTGAATATGTTCCCAGAGGTCCCAGAGGTCCTTTGGCAGGTCATCTTGGTTGTCGGCGCTCCAGGCGTCCCATCCCGCGCTGGGCTCGATCGCCTCGCGGGCGTCAGGGTCTGTGGTGTCCCAGTCGAAGATGTTGAGGATGCCCAAGTCCGTGCCCTCGTCGGTCAAGTCGACATGGCGAAACAGATATGCCCACCATTTTCACGACGGGCAAGTCGCATACTTGCCGGTGGGTCTCTGGCCGCGGTGCTCCTGGTAGCTCAGCCATCTGCGCGCCAGTTTGTGCCCCTTGCCCTCGCGCACCTTGTTGCCATGAGCAGGGCGCTTGCAGCTTTTGGAATATCTTTACTCCAATTGTCCTGCCAGCGACCCTGTGTTCTATCGGCGTTATGTATCGGAGTCGCTCTGGCATTCTTGTGATGGCCCCCCTGCCTCCTCTATCATGGACCGTGGCGGCTGGGGGCGGATGCCAATCCTGGTGCAGCCCAACATTTCCCCAATGCACTGCAGGCCAGAGCCGATTGGGCAGCTTCTGGGACGCCTTCTAGAGAATCACTTCCCCACACTCGCCACAGGCCAGCATGCCGTAGCGGGTCTTGTGCCCCAGATGGCAGACGAGGCATATGTCATCGTTCCAGGTGGGGGGGGCTCTTTGACGTCCTGCCACAAGACAGCGTCCAGCCTGTTCTCGGGGGCACGGTTCGCGATCTGCTGGCCTGGCTCAGGGTAGTCAACGCACCCAGTGTGCGGAGTGGGGACGACCTGCAGCATGGTGAGGCGCCGATCATGGTAAACGCGCCATATGAATTTGTCATCAGGGGCTTCCGTCACCGCAAAGATCTGCCAGATGTCCCTCCAGTCTGCAAAAATCTCGCCTGATGGCAGCACCCAGTGCGGATGGGCCTCGACATGCCTCTGACTCAGAGCGGGTAAGAACGTCACCTGCAGAATGGAGAGATCGAAGTCGAGAGCAGCCTTGCATGTGGTGCCATTGAAGTCCCTGGACATCCCGTTCTGATGAAGAAACGTTGGTGATATTGCCCCTGTTACTCGGTATGCACGTTCTGGTCGTCTCGCCCCACGAGATCGAGGGCCTCCTCGAAGCGCAAGGCTCATAGATGTCCGCTACCGCGTTCAGAACATGGATCATCTTTGCGCGCGGTGAGAGGGCAACTGTGAAAACCACGGTGCCGCATTGGCGCAGTCCTGTGGCTGCATTGAGCAGCGGAGCCGCCTCTCCGCACTGAGCTTGCTGAAGATCTGTGAAATCCATCTGCAGCAAGAGCGCCCCGTGCTTGTCGCTCATGTCTGCGTCGTGCCGCACGTTGCGTCGGCAAGGACAAATCACCCTCAGGGAGTCGCCATGCACTGTGCGGACGAGAAGGGGGCGGACGGCAGGAACCGCGAAGATCTGCTCGTAGTCGCCGCCCCCGACAAACGCGCTGTAGTCGTCGGCGGTGTCCGTCGCGCCAATCCCCTTGAGAGCGGTCTCGGCAATGCTTTCATCCCAGTCCATGGGGCGGAATGTTGAGCCTTCCGCTGCTGCGTCCATTTCGACGCCGAGTAGCTGAATGTCCTTCGGGTCGAGCACCGACATTGCGTGGGGAAGTCTGGGCCATGGGCGATCATATTCGACGTGCTTCAGCATGTCAATCAGCGCGCCGACGTCCACCTATCCTCCTGAGCTTAGCACGTGGGCCGAGCTGTGACGGAGCAGAGGAATCGCCAGTCCTCCCGGCCGCATGGCTTCATCTCGCCCCAGCTCGCTTGCACTTGCATAGAGCCTGGAGCGCAAGTGCGGGAACATCGGCACCGGGCCATGGGCCGGGCCGGGCAGATTCGCGTTCTCGATGGTGTTGTAGCGAGCCGTGAGGTCGTCCCCCGCCCTGTCGCGCTCATCGGGTACTAGCCGCCGTAAGTACTCCAGGAGCGGGTCTGCCACGCAGTCAGCGTGCACGGACAGCCCGTCACTGGTGATCGTCCGGCCAGCTCGTTGACGCGGGAGCACTGGTCCGTCATTGTGGAGCTCGTCGACGTAGCGAGCATGGGGGGGGCGATTTCGCCCTCAGGTTCTCTCTGATGAAGCGCTTTGTTGCCACAAGGGTGCGGCGCCGTTCATCGGGGAGGAAACCTATGTAGGTCAGCTCGTCGCGCTCTAGATTGAGCTCCTCGAGGTCCCCCTTGTCTCCCAGATCCTTGTGCAGCAGTCTGAAGTCGTCTTCTGAGATCTGCTTCTTCTTGGGGAGCTGCAGGGTTCCTTCGAGCAAGAAGTAATCCATGTCGAACGGAGGGTTTTGTCTCGGGGTCGATCTGTATCGGTGGGTTGCCTGCATGGCCGGCCCCATCCGATGACTCTTCTTCCTTTTCTTCTTGTGAGTCATCAGCATGGCTGGCCTCACTTGACCCCTCGGTCCCCTTGGGTTTGTCTTCCTCTTCTCCCCCTGGGCAGTCCTCTTCATCCTCCGCCTCCTGGGACTTTTCATCCTTTTTCTTCTTTCCCAGCTCGTCCCCGAGGATCGGGTTCGCGTCGACGGTAACCTTGGGGGCCCTCTCCTCCTCCTCTGCTTCTTCATCAGTCTCGGATTCGGACTCGGAGTTAAGGTTGTTCGCAATCTTCTCCCGGCACCACTTCTCGGACTGCCTCTTCTCGTATTCTACGACCTCGGGAGGTGCGCGACCGCCGCGGGCGTCGGCCCATCGACTGTACTTTCGGTGCCTCGGGGGGCGCCAATCCAGATGGACTGCTGCCATAGTCTTGCAATGATGGCAGTTGCGAACAAGAGGAATCTTCTACCTGAAGACCTCACCGGTAGGTCGTGCGAAAGCATCCTGCCGTCGGGCATGGCCACGCCTGCTGGATTCGAGCCGCCGCGGGCGAGGCGCACGCAGACTTGCGGCGCATGGAGGCGAAGGCCTCGTCTGGCAGCGGCGGCGGCTGGAACCCGGGCGCCTCGTCTCGAGGGCCAGGCTCTTGATCGTCGGGCACCCCGTCGGGGAACTCGAAGCGTGCCCGGGAGTTCGACGTGAACGAGCGATCGAAGCCCGCATGTCCGATATTCCCCCAGCCAGAGCGTCTCCCACCCGATTGTCTGTCACGCCAGTCCCTTGCTGCTTCGGCGAGCATGAGCTCGCGACCGCCGCGGCGGATGACACTCTTGACCTCTTCGGTCCTTCGGGTTCGACGCTGCCTGGGACGTGGTCCGCAGCAGTTTCTTCAGGCTTTCTGTTGTTATCCTCCTCGTTCTTCTGAGCTAGGAACCTCTGCCAGTCGAGGTCCGAGATCCTGGGCATCGACATGTCCATCTCCATGCTTGAAGCGGCGGACGCTCACCTGACGGGCCACCCTGCGAAAGAGGGGTCATGATGTCCTGGGAGCCATGGGCTATGAGGATGGGGCGGTCAAACTTGTCCGTGATCGCTCTCGAAAAGTCCGCCGTGCTGCCAATCCTTTACCCCGAGGAATTCGATCTGCTTCCTCCTTATCTCCCCTAGCTCAGCTCGGACCCACTTCTGCTCCACCGAGAAGAAGTCAGCACGTACCGCACGCCGGACCATGGCCTCTGCGAGTGCGGCACGGGGCCCCGCCTGACGCATCGCCTCGTCGATCGCCTGGTCTATCCGCCACTTCTGCACCCCTTCCTCCGGGTCGGGTGTTGGATCAACCAGAGCCTTGTAGTTGACCTCGAAGTGACGGGAGTGTTCTGGGTGGAACACCCAGAAATGGCGCTCGTTGGCCTGGCTCGGCGTCATGAAATAGAGCCTCAAACAAAGCCCAACTATGAGTTCAGGTTTTTCGCAGACGTATTGGTCCCTCCCTTTTGTTTAGTAATATATGGGACGGAAGCCCCCTTCTTCTGATGGTGGGGTCGTAACCTTGAAGTCCATGGTGACCAGGTTCCCATCATTCCACATCTCAGTAGCATGGCTATACTGCTGGTGGTTTAGGTGGACGTACTCGGTGTCGCGGAGGGTGTAGACACCCTCTGCGTAGCCCCTATCCTTCGCCATCTGGTCCGTCTTGACCCACATGTTCCACTTCTCCTTGGATGGAAGGAACACGCCAGCGTTAAGTAACGCATATAGCTTGCGGGTGTCCGAGGCATGGGAGTAGTTCTCTCTCAGTGGCCTCGCCTGGTGCGGTCATGGACGTGACCAGGAAGGAGGAAAGGAATCTCGATCATAGAATATGATTCGTGCTCGGAGAACGCCGCCCTGCCCCAGTCGAAGAGAGCGGTGCAGGAGACGTCCGCAAGGCTCGTGGTGTGAAGCCGCCTCGGGGCCAGGTGCTCCATGGCCATCCTCAAGCTGTGCTCCCGCGCGATGAGCGGGGATCGGGCCAAGCGCGCCCTGTTGATCACCCCGTCGCGGCCAGCGACGCGGCCTTTCAGCGAATCGTACCACTTGTCAGTCTCGGAAAACTGCTCTGTCAAATGAAACGCCTTCAGGTCCGACTCCCGCTCACGGCTGATGAGCATGAGCTCGTAATGAACCGTCTGGTAATCATGGGCCATGGTTTCGCGCAGTGGCGCCGCTGGGCCCCCAGGCCTTGTGCCCATGATGACGGACTTCTGGTGCGAGGTACACGCTTCGAAGAACTTCGGACATCGAACGCGGGCGCTCCCGAAATCGCAGGCGATGTATTCGTCCTCCCCGGCGACATATGAATGGCGGAGCACGTTCTCCACAATCGCATCCCAGAGGGCCCTCCCGGAGGGGTCGGCACTGGCGGGCTGCGCCTCTGCGGCAGTTCGCACTGGCTCACTCGCCACGGCGGCTGGCTCGGGACGCCATGCGGCGACGAAGTCCATGGCCGCGTCATTCGCTGTTGCGTCCAATACGGCGGCCATCCGTTCGTCGATGGGCAAGATCTCTATGGGATCACCTGCCACCGTCTCCATTCCGAAAATGTCCACCGCGTCATCATGGGGCACAGTGCAGCACCGCCTGTCCGCCCAGGCAGGCCGTACATCGTACATCATGATGCTCCGCCAGCCAGGCCCTGAAGTCCTCCGAGTTGATGTTAGAGGACTCGGGCGGCGCGTGCGCGGAGCCCCGATGTCGCCGAAGGGCAACAACTCTCCCGCCTGGCAGCCTGGCAGCTCACATGGTTGCCGCTGGTGGAGATCACTTTCTTCATCGTCGGGCCAGTGGCGCCCGGGGGCTTAGGCGGCGGCGCGACTGGTGGCGGCGGCGGCGCTGCCACTCCTGGCGCAACTGAAGGGCGCTCCTTGATGTCGAAGGCGGGGCAGCACAGCTCGTGGCAGATCGTGGCGGCATCCGCGATGTACTTCGCACACGTGGCCACGTAAGCGTAGTTCTCCACGCCCCGCAAGAAATGCCAGTCATCGCCTGGCTTGTGCTCACCCTTGCGGTAGAGCTCTAAGCCTCGGGGTATCAGCATTTTCGGGTTCTGGCCCGCTTCCCGGTAGAGGTTGATTCTGTTTTGCCCCCGCGCCAGAACTCGGGAAGCAAGTGTGTCCCAGATTCGCCGCTCGGCGACGCCCCTGGGAAGCCCCCAACTCTGGCCGTCGCCTATTACCAACATGACGAGCATGGCTCCTGTTGTCTCCGCTATGTACGCCTGTTCACCCACGACGTCGCCTATCATGGATAGGGCCCGGCGCTCCAACTCGTCGTGCTGAAGAGGGCTGTCTCCCCGTCGGGCACCTTTGACTCGCCGACGGCCGTCGCTGTGGTCGCACAATTCGTTGAAGTTCTACACGATGACTCTGCAGCGGGTCGGGCACGCCGTGGTCCAGCTCATTGAGCGCAACGAGACCTTTATATCGCCCAGGGTCGCGCCACCCCGAACGATGGCCCGACGCCCGCGCGAACGCATCTCGAGCTGCTTTCTGAGAGCGCTGGTCAGCACAACTTTCCCCTTGGCGCTGATGAATGCCATGGTGGAGTCAGCGGAGGCGAGGTACTCAATGTCTTTGTGCACCCGCTCGCCTTCGTCTATGTGCGCTGCGAGCCTACCAGCCCATGTCTTGGTGGGCGTTGGCCGG